CCGAATAAAAAACCGGTAAAAGTTATGCAAAGAAACACAATCCCTCTTTGAATAAATAAAGATACTGGTAACATGGGAGATCCAAACCAAATTTGTTTCAAAAACTAATTTAAAATGACCAATTAAATACATTCAAAGGAATTGTATGGTAGAAATACTATTGTTTCAAATTTCCGAAATGAATGAATGAAAGTCCACTGGAACCTATTTTGCAATATGTTTAGAAATTAATTATACCCAATGTTGAAGAAATTAACAATAGTACATCGACAGTTATAATATGAATGAGGATTTTTTATAAACCATAAGGAAAAAAAAACTACCTATAGATTAAGCAAAACAGACGTACGCATTTCTGGACAATATCAGATATATGGCTACATCTCCTGAGAATACATTCACTGAAAGAGCAAAACGTATGTGACAAATTGTTACGAGTGTAATTCCCAAAAGTTATAAAAATGTTCAAAATCTTTAAAAACATTAATGAGCGTGAAATATAATTATATATCTGTCAGACTATTGAATTCATGATATGAAATACATTAGTCACATTTTGTGTTGAAATCTTCAACTCTGATACATGTATCAAAATACCCTGCATATCTCGACATTATGCAATTTCTTAAAGTTCCGTTGAAATCTAAATAAAACTTCATATCATAATCCTAACATGACCCAACGGAAAGTAATTAATAAAAAAAACACAAATTTTTCTTCTTTTAAAGAAATGATCCGGGTTAGAATAGGTCCTAAGTACCCCCTTGCTTGTCGTAAAAGGCGACTAAATGGGGCGGTCCTTCGGATGAGACCGTATAAACCGAGGCTCTGTGTCATAGCAGGTGTGATCCCTCCCTGCTCAAAGGCCATAAGTGCAGAGCATAGGCCTAAATTTGCAGCCCTTCACCGGCAATGGTGACGTCTCCATATCAGTGAAATATTCTGGAGAGGGACGTTCAACAGTAATCAATCGTATTGGCCATTACAGTCGCACGCAAGTAGCAAGGGGGGTAGGGGGTGGGGATTTACACTGAAAGTCCCCCCCCCAACAACAACACACACACACCATGACATACACACTTTTTGCAACAGTATAGTCAAATTCGTGCACAATAGGGCAAAAGAAAAAGGCATGCAGTGTATTATGTTTGATTAAGAAAATGTGATACTGAAAGAAGACTGAACCTACACCCCCTCCCTCCCCAACGGTGAAATTGGATTCGAGTTGCGACCCCCCCCCCCCTTTTTGAGTTTTTTTAAGGCAATTTTTTTTCTGACCGAACCCTCACCCAAATTTTTCAAACGAGTTGTGTGGGGACAGGCGAAAGTACGAGTCAAATGTGTTTTTTTGGGGGGTGGGGGTGGGGGGGTATGTTTGGTATATTATTACTGAATTAACAGCATCGCCTCATACAAAAAGCATTAACGTATGTTGGACGCAATAATTCATTATTGGATAAGACAATCACATCGAAATGTGAAAAGCTTATAAGGTATGAAGTTAATAAGCCGTTGTCACGGAGGACGGAGGAAAATGAATACAATGTAGATGACCGTTTATGGCCGTTAAAAAATTGTTTCGTTTGTCAAGGAAAATTTGGTGGTTGAACGTGCCAATAATTGTAAAAAAGAAATATAGCTTCCTATGGGCCTGCCATTCTTGCGTAAAAAATCCGGACAATTTTTCATCGGAACGAAAGTTTTTAATGTTATTTTGTCTTGTTTAACGGGTAATTCAGATATCTGGTAGCTTCACATATCTGGACAAATTGACTTTGAACCAAAGGTTAGCGTCTGGATAAATGAGGCTCCACTACCAGTATTCATTCAGTTTCAAATAGATTTCGTTAAAATTTAAATGGAACTAATTTCGCACAGAAAAGTCAAGCACCAATAAAAAGAGACAAGAACAGCACAATTCCCATCTCTTTGATTAAATTATACAATATTATGCATAAATGATATTTTTTGAAATCATAGTAGCGGTCCTTGTAAGAAATATACAAATGCTGTGTTCAAGTGAAAGAGGGTACAGGTGCCACAAATAAAATAAAGGGTTAATGTGCAGAAATATTTGTAACCGATTTTAATTGTGATTAACGTTTAAAAAAAAATAAGAAGTTAAAATACGGTTTCAATTTGAGGTATACGGTATATTATGAATAATTCATTTGTCCTTCTTTTGCCTATTTACTACTTTTCTACTCCATAACTAAGGCAGGCGACGAAAATGAATTGCAAAAACAATAGAAATGTAGAGCTTAAACATTTTTATTAAACTATTCAACAGCGTAAAAATTTTTAAATCCGCTTGCATGGAAGAAGGGAACGTATATTTTTTCATGAATGTTTATAAAGCAATAAACGTTTTTAAGAACAAGTTTACATTTCTTAGCGTATCTGAATTTATTTCTCAATTAAATTTTTCGGTGATACAGAAAATACACTTGTTTTTTTATCGTAACAGAATAAAGTTACGTGCATGTGTGTTGGTGAGTGAATGCTGCCTCGTAAGATTTTTTAAACATTGGGATCGATGTGCTTTTCAAAAGGGGTTTCCTATTTGCGCGTGGTGTCCTTCTGCATGGGATTCTCTGTCTATCTATATATTTCTTTTAATTTTTAAGTGTTACAAGTGCGTTATATATTCTATAAATTAAATTAAATTATTTTATATAAAAGAATAATTTTTATGAATTTAAACAAATATTATTTCCATACTGATTATGTTATAAACCGTTCCTAGATTCCGTCTAGACCCCCCCCCCCTTTTTTTTTAAACGAATTTCTAGAACTGCTATAAAATTAGCATAAAAATAGTAATAGCATACGAAATCCCTTAGGAATAGTTACATACTAGTCGCTTGGAAGAAAAGATGAAATACTTTCTCACGTTTTTAATTCTCGAAACGATTGAGGTTATTAAAAAAAACCTGTAACTTTAAAAGATTTTTTGAAAATTGAATAAGATGCAGGCGACGTCATTACGTTTTCAGTGAGTAACGTCAAAGTTATATATAGAGCGCCTCACTAAAATGCTCATAAAATACCGAAAAGGTGAGATATTTTCAAAATTTATGTATATTTGCATACAGAAAGAGTCCGGCTATCAAAATGTGCCGAAAAGTCAATTTGTGAAAATTTGACCTTAAGGGCCCTTTTCTCGTGACGGCAGTCATTTTATTTTTTACTTTGATGATTTTTTAAAAATTAATTTCTTTTATATCTATACCACTAACGCGGGCGGATCCAACTGAGAATATTGAGAAGTATTGAATGAATAAAAGCTCATAAAACATCTGTAAATAGACCAAATACACTTAAAAAATAATATTTATTTTAATATAATGTTTTAGATATTTTATTGAGAGAACTTTAAATATATGTTTTAATTAATTAAATATTAACTATGTGTAATATTATAGAATGATTTAAAAATATGTTGCATGTGTATATCAATATCAAAATTGCAACTTCAAAGTAAATAATTATACATATTTATTTAAACAGTAATTTTTAAAAAAAATTTTTAATCATACAAAAAAAATTGTCTGTGTCATGTGCACTGTGTGTGTAAAATTCTGCTTAACTTTTAGAAATATTAAAATAAGGTTTACAATGCTGTTTACAATTTTTGGGACTTTTAAAGCTATACAAGATTTAGACAGTGTATTGACATTGAAAGTACTTCAACAGTTATAGCTTCTGACTAGTGACGCAAAGTCTCTGATTCGATACCTGGTTATCGTAAATAAATTTCATCATTAACATTTATTAAAACATAAAAAAAAATTTTTAGTTTACCAAATATGATACAAGAATCCAAATACATGTACACATGTACATGTATTGAAGACCTTTCCTTTGTTTAGGACTTAGTATATTTTTGTAACAATACAATCTGACTTCCCTGTCTCTATTTCATGCATATCTAACAAGAAGTCTGTGAGCCAATGCTCACCAATCAAACCCCTGCTCTGATGTGAATATACAATATTATATCAATAAACTGAAGTTACAGTTACAGGCAGATGCACAGATCAATAGGAAGTTGACATCCGATTCATAGAAAAATGAAATCCCACCAAAAGACATGCCTCAGCAAAGAATGTGCTAAACTTTCAAGCATCTGTGATGAGTAGTTACTGAGAAAACTGCAACCAAAAATTTGTTTTGGACAGACAGACGGACTGGTACACACGAGTAAAACTGTATTCCCTCTCTCCTTTGGATGGGGTATAAAAATAGAATTTATACATCCTATGTTTATTTTCATTACATACACTGTATATGAAATCTCAGTGATTGTATAGCTGCGGAAATATATAATTCAATTGAGAGAAAGCTCTCAGTAGTACTGTAGACAAAATATCTGGCTTATATTCCTCATGAAAAAATTTAAGCAGGTATCCTACTCTTTCTTAAGCATATTAATTTTTAATATAGTAAAACTATTTTTATGATAGAAGAAAAAAAAAACAAGGAAAAATAACACAGTATCTTTATCAATTAGTCCGACAATAAGTGAAAAATTGGCATTCAGCAGAAAACAAGGAATTCCTAAATTTCCTTTTTGTGTGATCATTGTACAACAATCCCCTACTCTCCCCCTCCCCTGAAAAACTGTATATGAAAAAAAAATTACAAATTTAGTGAAATTAGATTCTTTGATTCACTCATCAATGGATCACTGTATAATGTTTAGCAATTTATGAAGCAGACATGAAAGAAACCATATGTGGATTGTGGTGTTACCATGTACCCCCTCAATAATTAAATCCAATGGATACAATATATTCACATCACACAATACAATAAGCTTATCTATACAGTTGTTGTGTCCCCTCACTAATTAATATGAACATTGTTTTTGTTTGTCAAAACATAAGTTTTCAGTTGATCCCGGCCCTCTTCCTTCATCACCCTGAAATTTCTTTAACAGACCTGGCAGCTAGATCTAGGACTCAATTTTAAAATGTGGGTAAATCACATTCATATTTAAAGCACATGACATTCCAAGGATCACGTGCGAAAGAGAGTCAAGTATTCTCAATTGAAAACAATTTTACATACATGTACAAATTTATTATTTATTATGATTAATACATGAATTTTTACAAGCTGAAATAAAAATACAAGTTTTAATATCATGTCAATTTTTTTTCTTTCCCTTAAAATAGCTCTTATTGTAACAACTTTGAAAAAAAAACATGCATTTGATTTTTCTGAGTATACATGCAAATATATGCAAAGACATTGCATATAATAAAGTAAGTACGATAGGTATTTACATTGTATTTCAAATAGTTGTAATATAACATGTATAACGTGTTCAAGAAATATGTCAGTCTGCAAACATCTTGGTCAAATTGGTAAAATTAAAATATCCATGGCAAATTTAAACTTTAATATTTAGTTGAAGCTAAGGCCATTCCAAGTTTTTTCTCTGTTTAGTGTCCACCCATCTTTCAAAAACCTAGCTACCTATTCGCTAAAAACACACAGGTACAAAAAAAAATAATAAAACACATATTTTATTGTAATATAAATGACATAATTCAAAAGATATGATTTCATTTATCGATTTTTCATAAAGAAAGTTATTTTCTTCAGCAAAATCAAGGCATTAAATACTAAAACTATTCCAATAATGAAATACATGTATTATACAAATATTCAGAGATATTGCTGGAAATCAAAAATTTTGACCTGAATAATCAATTTTCGAAATCTTAATTCTGTTTGTTTTTTTCTGACATGGGGTGTCAAAAACCAAGGCACACGTAGACACTAAACATAAAAAAAATTGGAATGGCCTAATCAGTATTAATAAGTGTACTTTATCTTTCAACAAAAATATGTACATGAGCGATATTCTAAAGTTCATAAAAAATTGTCCTAGCAAATTCAAAAGGACAATGCAAAGCCCTCTCTCTTTTAGTTTCTATCACAAAATAGACTGTATATGATTTCTCTACATTTAATCAAGATGAGATAAAATCCATGCATGGATATCGTGACTTTTGATTATTGTTATCCCATATGAGTCCAACAGCTACATGGTAGGGCTGCCGCAGTCTGGATTTGAATTGAGGATTCTTCAAAATCTGTAATGAGGAGATTATACATTTTAAAGGAGTAGGACCAATATTCTTCAGAGTTAAATATCTATGATTTTATCAGATAGAAATCTGTTTTAACAGAAATAGCACAGAGACTATCATTTATGATAATTAAGTATAATTTTATAAAATGATTAAATTAATGAATATAAAGGCATTTTGAATCTACAAGTGGTTTCAAATCATTAGAAATAGCCTTGATTTATTAAACAGTTTCAAAAACCTGCAGCACATTTCACACATTTCTCAAGATGAGTCATTCAATTATTCAACATAACTGTATTTCAAAGCAAAAATTGCAATAAAGCTAAACAACTTGATCTCCTTTAAATTTGAAATATGTAGAGTTAAAACTTGAGGCATATACTGTTTATATTGCCATGCAGTGTTGAAAGAGCACTCTTCTGAAAAAATAGATAAGTACATGTAAGCATGTATAATTATTATAAAAATTTGATAATTTCCTAACGAAATATCTTTGATAATTTTTAAAATCATTGCTGTTAAGTAAGATTCATATATTGTAAATATTCATTTCTTAAAACTAAATATTTACAAAATAAAGATTTGCTTTGCAAATTTGAGGAAGAACTTAGCATATTACGAATTAATTATGTGTGTAATTTGGTGGTATTATGTCACAATGCTACTGTATTTATCTACTTTTTGATCCAATTTTATGGGCTGTTTATAACAGATGGAACAAAAAATGCATCATTTTTATTTTCAAACCTTTAAAATCCTTTTTTTAATTTGAATACATGTATTTACACAAGGATTCACTTTAATTTCAAAACTAATTTGTTTAAAATTCAATTCTAATGCAATTGTTTTGTAAAACACTTTTTCATTGGCTAATGCACTGATGTTTGAAGCAGTAAAACGAGCATTAACGAGCGTGAAAGCTTTTTCATTGTGACATCATAATATAGCGACGCAAAACACAGTGCTCCATGACGTATTTCATGTAACAAAATTCATCAAAATAAGACGTAAACAACAAAGAAAATGCATGGATTGCATTAGAATGGGAATAACTAATCTTCTTATTTGGTATTTGCGACCGTTAATGCTGATTTTTACCGGCTCCGCTTACGCGTCGCCGGTAAAACTCATTTTGCGACCGTTAAATCAGCATTAACGGTCGCAAATACCAAATTAGAAAGATAGTTATTCCCTAAATAACATGGTTTGAAAGCACAATGACATGTACGTCCTGCTACTTACTTCATGTACTTACTTCGGCCTGTCGTTCTATGAGGAACATAGGCCATTGGCGACAGTCCTATAACGAACTCAATTTGGAGCTGCTTTAGCTGCATCCTGCCTTGTCATATCCAGCGTTTTAACTCTGACTCTGAGTCAAGCCTTGGTGTTTCTAGGACATCCTCTCTTCTACAATAATATTAAATTGTGTAAAATTGCACAATTTTGCTTCATATGCATGCACCATGGATATTTTTTCTGGAATAACTATTACATGAATCAATATTAAAAGCCTTTTGGTTTCCTTTTATTTCTTTTTTATTTATTTATTTATTTTATTTCTCCTTGTTTAATTGACTGAACATGAATTTGAGGATAGTCATACCTATTTTATGCATGTAAAATATTTGCTATATTTATGTACAGTGTATTTTAAAATATATCTAAATATCACTCAATTTTAAATTTTTCGGCAAATAGCTATAGCAATATTCATAATTACAATAAAAGTATTCAAAATTGCAGTGATGAAAAAAAAAATATTTTCATGGGGAAAAATACTTTTTTCAAGGTGTCTTTATAAATATCTTTCATATTTCTTGACACCCCTGTACATGCAAGAGTTTCTGTATAAACAATGTCGATACTAAACCATGAATGACTAGTAATATAGTAAAGTACAGTGAAGGTGTAATGAATCAATGACACTTAATTTATATGTATAACATACAAAATATAATTTTTTTATATTATATTAATTATATTAAAATTAAAAATAATGTTCAACCTTGGATATTGTTCATTAGAACTCATCTTATACCGATGTATTATATTTTTTCGATATCTCACCCCCCTTTGGCCGATTTCAAAGCTCTATAAAAGAAATGAAATTTTGTCTGAGGCCTTCGGAAAAAAATTGCCTAGCATCCAAATCATCACCTAAGACCACAAAAATTACAGTACTGAAATATGCCGCATATAGCCAGGGCAATGCAAAACATGACCGACCTCCTAAGTACAGGAAGCGTTTCCTTCTGCCACGTGGTTTTGACAACCTTGAGTAAATATGCAACTTACATCATTAAAGTGGAAATCAAAGATAAAATACTTGTTTATGGTCAAAAAACATTACCTTGGGGTCTCTTCTGCACACCTAGGAACACTTGTTACGACGCAGGTAAATTATACGCGGCGATTATATTCGCTGCATCGTCAGCTGCGGAGATCGATTCGGCCATTATTTTTGTGACGTCAGCCCCCAATGTTTGCCCCCAGTCCAAGATGGCGGCTAATAACCTTGATAGGGTCAAATGGAGAAACTACTACACTAACAGTTTGATTTATTGATCAGTATAATTAGGGCCCCGCTTGGCGGGCGCTCTATAGTGATCAGTCTGGTCCGTCCGTCTAGCTGTCCGTCCGTCCGTCCGTCCGAGATCTCTTGTCCAAAGCATGTCTTCTCTCTCCTTGGCCCTATCTGGCTCATACTTCACCCACAGAGTGCCTTTGGGTAACCGGTGTGCAGTGACCTTGAACCAGGTTTCTAGGTCAAAGGTCAAGGTCATAGCTGAATTATATGAAAAATCCTTGTCCGGAGCATATCTTCTCTCTCCTTGGCCATTTCTGACTCATGCTTCACCCACAGAGTGCCTTTGGGTAACCGGTGTGCAGTGACCTTGAACCAGGTTTATAGGTCAAAGGTCAAGGTCATAGCTGAATTATATGAAAAATCCTTGTCCGGAGCATATCTTCTCTCTCCGTGGCCCAATCTGGCTCATACTTCACCCACAGAGTGCCTTTGTGTAACCGGTGTGCAGTGACCTTGAACCAGGTTTATAGGTCAAAGGTCAAGGTCATAGCTGAATTATATGAAAAATCCTTGTCCGGAGCATATCTTCTCTCTCCTTGGCCCAATCTGACTCATGCTTCACCCACAGAGTGCCTTTGGGTAACCGGTGTGCAGTGACCTTGAACCAGGTTTCTAGGTCAAAGGTCAAGGTCATAGCTGAATTATATGAAAAATCCTTGTCCGGAGCATATCTTCTCTCTCCTTGGCCCAATCTGACTCATGCTTCACCCACAGAGTGCCTTTGGGTAACCGGTGTGCAGTGACCTTGAACCAGGTTTCTAGGTCAAAGGTCAAGGTCATACCTGAATTATATGAAAAATCCTTGTCCGGAGCATATCTTCTCTCTCCGTGGCCCAATCTGGCTCATACTTCACCCACAGAGTGCCTTTTGGTAACTGGTGTGCAGTGACCTTGAACGAGGTTTCTAGGTCAAAGGTCAAGGTCATAGCTGAATTATATGAAAAATCCTTGTCTGGAGCATATCTTCTCTCTCCTTGGCCCAATCTGGCTCATAGTTCACGCACAGAGTGCCTTTGGATAACCGGTGTGCAGTGACCTTGAACCAGGTTTCTAGGTAAAAGATCAAGGTCATAGCAGAATTATATGAAAAATCCTTGTCCAGAGCATATCTTCTCTCTCCTTAGCCCAAACTGCCTCATACTTCACCCAGTGTCTTTGGGTAACTGGCGTGCAGTGACCTTGAACCAGGTTTCTAGGTCAAAGGTCAAGGTCATAGCAGAATGATATGAAAAATCCTAGTCAGGAGTATATCTTCTCTTTTGTTTGCACAATCTGGCTATTACTTCACTCATAGAGATCCACTGGTCAATGGATGTGCAGTGGCCTTGGTCGAAGTTTCTAGGTCATGGTCAGAATTACCCTTTCTGTTTAAAATCTTTGTTTGGTGCATAATTCTTTGCCTTTAATTCCAGTAAATTTATATAACTTGGGATACAAGATAACTTCAATAAATATTAGTAAATTTGCAGTATCCGTGAAGTCGTACTAAATGACTTTTACTGTTTAACTCAAATGTTCCTCTTCAAAATAATCCCTTTTAAACGACCTTACATTTTCATGTTCATTGTTTAACGCGGGGCCCTTTGAGATGGCCACCATCTCAATGATATCTAGTTTTATTTGAGCAGCGATCATTATGATTGATTTCTGAATTTAGAACTATATGTGTGTGATATACTTTTGTGCTATTATTGTTTATCTAAAACTCATATGTCACTGGAAAAAAACCCGATTTCTATGAACACCGTAGGCCAAGGGTTTATGAGGAGAGTAGCGTATCAGAAACCCTTGGCTAGCGAAGATGGTGGCAAGTAGAAAAAAATAATTTATGAATTTATGTAACCCTTCATAATCATATGTCTTTGATTGACTGAAAAGAAATTATAAAATAGTTTGCTATTGAGCGTGACATTTCTGACGATGTCTGGTCAATTCAAACTCTGCTTCATTCGGACCAGGACAAAAGGCCCTTCACTGTATTTGTGTTAAATATTTTATTATTATGTTACCAGAGTCACCCACTTGACCTATCTTCTCACTTTTGAAATTCTTTTTCTTGTTCGACGCCATTGAAGCCTTTCAGGCTTTTGATTTTTACCTAGACCTCTACTTTGACCTTGACCTCATTTTCTTAAATAAGTGTTTAGTTCAGTTTTAAAGAAATTCAAGTTATTTTTATTAAACTTTATATGTTGATACATACTGATTAGAGTTAATCAACTGCACCAACATTTTTAGCTCACCTGAGCTGAAAGCTCAAGTGAGCTTTTCTGATCACCCGGTGTCCGTCGTCCGTCCGTCCGTCCGTCTGTAAACTTTTCACATTTTCAACTTCTTCTCAAGAACCACTGGGCCAATTTTAAGCAAACTTGGTACAAAGCATCCTTGGGTGAAGGGGAATTTAAATTGTTAAAATCAAGGGTCAAGACCCCTTCCAAGGGGAGATAATCAAGAAAATACGAAAATAGGGTGGGGTCATTAAAAAATCTTCTTCTCAAGAGCCACTGGGCCAGAAAAGCTGAAATTTATGTGGAAGCATCCTGGGGTAGTGTAGATATTAAATTGTAAAAATCATGACCCCCGGGGGTAGGGCAGGGCCACAATAGGGAATCCAAGTTTTACCTAGAAATATATAGAATAAATCTTTAAAAATCTTCTTCTCAATAACCACTGGGCCAGGAAAGCTGAAACTTATGTGGGAGCATCCTTGGGTAGTGCAGATATTAATTTGTGAAAATAGTGACCACCGGGAAAAGGGAGGGGCCACAATAGGGAATCCAAATTTTACATAGAAATATATAGAACAAATCTTTTAAAAATCTTCTTCTCAAGAACCACTGGGCCAGGAAAGCTGAAACTTATGTGGAAGCATCCTTGGGTAGTGTAGATATTAAATTGTTAAAATCATGACCCCCGGGGGTAGGGCGGGGCCACAATAGGGAATCCAAGTTTTACATAGAAATATATAGAACAAATCTTTAAAAATCTTCTTCTCAAGAACCACTAGGCCAGGAAAGCTGAAACTTATGTGGAAGCATCCTTGGGTAGTGTAGATATTAAATTGTTAAAATCATGACCCCCGAGGTTAGGGCGGGTCCACAATAGGGAATCCAAGTTTTACATAGAAATATATAGAACAAATCTTTGAAAATCTTCTTCTCAAGAACCACTTGGCCAGGAAAGCTGAAACTTATGTGGGAGCATCCTTTGGTAGTGTAGATATAAAATTGTTAAAATCATGACCCCCGGGGGTAGGGCGGGGCCACAATAGGGAATCCAAGTTTTACATAGAGATTTATTGAACAAATCTTTTAAAATCTTCTTTTAAAGAACCACTGGGCCAGGAAAGCTGAAACTTATGTGGAAGCATCCTTTGAGTAGTGTAGATATTAAATTGTTAAAATCATGACCCTCGGGCATAGGGCGGGGCCACAATGGGGAATCCAAGTTTTACATAGAAATATATATAGAACAAATCTTTTTAAAAGATCTGCATCACCCAAGTTACTCCGGTGAGCGATGTGGCCCATGGGCCTCTTGTTATCCTGACCTTTCCTTGGCAACAGTTTACATCATAATGGTGATTTCTTTGGCTCACCTCCACGAAGTCGAGATAAGCTTTTGCTATACCTATTTTATCATGAATAATTGAATTGTCAGTGTAGGTATCCAGGTTTAAGTTTTAGGAGCAAGTCCGTTTCTAAGTAATTACAAGTGCCACCTGGACCAAACTTGCACAAGACGCATCTAGATATGGACACTACCACGCTTGCTTTGGATGCTGGATCTGACTTAGATTTTCCAGATGAAAGACAAGGTCAAACTTTTTGGATTTCCGAGTAACTTTAAGCCTACCTGGACCAAACTTGATACATCTAAGGATGAATTATACTACCACACTTGCTTAAGATGATAAATCTGCCTTGGGTTTTCAAGATAAGTGACCAGGTTAAATTTTGTGGAGCAGGTACCTAACTTTTAGCCCTAGCTGGACCAAAATTGTATAGGTGATACTTCTATTACACATGCTGATAAGTTTTAGTGAGAGTTGTTCAATAGCATAAACAAACTTTTGACCCTGCACTTTTCTGTGACCTAGATATCAATTTTCTTTAATTTGCATTTCACTTAGTTTTAAAAAATATTTACGTAAGTTTATGCACTTGTTCATGATTTGGTGGATTTTATTATCTATGCATCATGGCCGTGTATCATTATACCCCCTGCAAACGAAGTTTGGAGGGTATATAGGAATCAGCTTGTCTGTTTGTCTGTCTGTGCAAACGTGACTGGTCCATATCGTTCTTACAGAGGAACATTGGATTCAACTACTTCATGCAAAGATTGGTCATGACCTTTGGGTGTGTCATGTCCTTAACGTAAGGTCATCTATGAAAGTTCAAGGTCACTGAAAGAAATTTTCATAATTTATGTTTGGTATATATCTTTATAATGGAAAAACTCAAATCTACTACTTTACACACAGCTGGCTCATGACCTGAGGGTGTATTATGACCTTGAGCCAAGGTCATTTAAGTTTAAGGTTACTGAAAGAAAAAATTTCATAATCCGTATACGGTCCATACCTTGCTTATGGATAAACTTGGTAAGTTCCAATTTCACACATAGATTCCTCAATGTCATAAGGGTGTGTCATGACTTTGGTGTAACGTCATCTCTGCAAGTTCAAGGTCACTGAAAAAATTTATGTTTGGTACACATGGTAAGTTCCTGATTTACACAAAGATTTCATATGTCTTGAGGTTAAGTCATGACCTTGACCCTAGGTCATTTGTGAAAGTTAAAGGTCACTGAAAGAAAAAAATTCATAATTTGTGCCTGGTTCATATCTCATAAGGTAATCCTTGACAGATCC